CTGCTGACCATGAAGGTGGAAGGGGTTAAAAAAAATCCCTGTGCTTCCAGACCAAACTGCAGCACTTAGCATGGCTTAGACCATTTACAGAATACAAGTCCTTTGCAGGAAATGTTTTTCTTACTTGTGGACATAAAGTGAGGAGTCATTATCACAGTCACACACCAGACAATTCTGGACTGTCAACCGGAGACAAAGGTCCCAGAAATGGCACAACGCTAGGGAAGTACATGTCCTGACAACCTACAGAGCAGGTTCTGAAGCCAGTTTTCCCTGTCATTGGCCTTAATTTAAAAGTGGGAAAAAAGGATAAAAGGAGGGGCTCTTTTGTTGGCAAGCAGGTGCAGTGTAATATGTAGAGGCCATCTGCGTAGTCCAGTAGCCGTTTGCCACTACCTCCCCGTGTCAGAGGTGCTGCTGGAACCGCTGAGTTTCTCACCGGGCCTCTGCTGAAATCAGCTCTAGTCCGAGACCATGTGACAAATGATTCCAATCTTGGCTGAGCGCCCTTGACTTGACCCTGACCGCTGTAGACAATAAGGGCAAGCTCAGTCACTGGAAAAGATGTTCTGCGCTAATAAACTCGACTGCGGACCAGGGGTAGTAGCGAGCAGAGGCAAGGCTGTGGGGGCTGGTGGGTGGGAGGTGTGGGTTCAGGTTCTGACCTCTCAGGTGCAGGTTGATAATGAGTCTCCCTGTTTGCTCTGTGAAAATGACCTCAGAGAGATGAAAGGAGCCAGAGCACAACAAAGAGCTCCATTCTCTGCACTCCTGAAATGGGATTATTCTGGAGGATTGGCTTATGAATGCACTTTCTATTTCATTGCTTTTAAAGGGCACTTAAGCCAAAATACAAACATGTAAAAGTAGTTAGGGCTAGATGCCGCCAACACAACCACTGAAACCGAGTACGCCCCACCCCTTCTCAGACCGCACACAGGCAAACAAAACAGCCGAAAACACATAAAAGCAAATGCGAGAACACACGTAGACACACATACATCGACAATAACCCAAAATCCAGCTTGTGCCTCCCCTTGTCTCCTTAATAAACCCCATAAAATGAGTGTGCTCTTGCCAAGCATGATGCCGTAAACATGCCACTCCAGAAAGGTTCTGGGCATCCTGCTATTATGCTAATAAAACCCCCACCCACCCCTGTTTTTCACTCCTTTATCCTGCTTGTACAGCTTTCAGTCTTGCACAGTACACTGCTCCGTTGTCATCCCTTGCCCCTGTTCTGCTGGCATCAGACTAGATAAAACAGCAAAATGGAAGATCCAAGAATCCTTGTAAGAAATCATGGCAAGAGAATAATGTGGTTAAAATTTCTTTGAACTCAAAAGTAGGGTATTGTTTTCCATGTTTCTGTCCAAATTTGTAGCAGAAAATTCTACAAAAACACAAATATCTGAAAATACGTATACATAGATATGGTAATTACATTTTAAAAAGTGATGAGATAGAAAAATACAGAAAGAGAAATCCTTAAATCAGCTGTTGCACTTTCATCGGTCAAAAGTTGTTCAAATACACTGAGCAACAGATGATTCTGACACGGTAGAGTATCAGCAAGTTCTTTGTCACAGGGACTTTGAGGAACTAAGTGTGGAAAGAGGAAAGTGCTGGTCACGACAGGAACCGCTGAAGTTTGCTAAACTCTGCTAAGTGTCAGTGTGAAAGCCAGAATTATACCCTGCACCGCTGCCTGCAAAATGCAAGAGCCATGTGTGAGTCTCACTACAACTTGGTGTGTGTGTATGTGAGACGTGTGATTTTGTGCATGTTGATAAATCTTTGTGGCCTTGTGTGTGTGTGTGTGGCTTTTGCAAACTTGTTCCTCAACATGTGGGTTTGTGACCTGACTGCAGAAGATAACTATAAAAGAATGGGTTGCAGAAAGAAAAACGAACTGAGGGTCTGAGGTGGCAGATGCTGAGAAGAGCTTGGTCGATACGGCCCAACTATTTTTTGGTGTGAGTACACATAGTACACCTTACACCTCATTTATAATTAAATTTTAACATGACATATTTGATAAGGTTGTTTTTTTTTCCTTTTATTGTGAAAGAAATTTGGAATGCCTAAAAATCTGTGCTTGCAGTTAAAAAGAAACAAAACTGGACTGCAGGCAGGCTGGTCCAGAACACCCACTTATCATCTAGCAGCCTTTTTTATTTGTGCAAAATGTGTTAAAACAAGAGGAAATTAAGAACAAACCTCTTTTTTCAGGACACAACCTTGTTGATTATTAATGCACTGGTAGACTAAATAAAAAATGATGGTCCAAACTGATGTGGTATAGCAGACTCTGCATAAATGAGTGACCCTGTGGTGAACACCGTCATACAGCTCAGTGACAGGATCACTCAGCCATTCATCCGCTGAGAACATCATTAGCTCCATAGTTTAAATGAAATGACTATATAGTGTGTAAGTGTGTCGAAAAATATAAACCAGTTATAAATATTTCTTAACATTTTTTTGTGTCATTTAAAGGCATAGTTTTATTGTTTTATATATTGTTTCTTACCAAAAATATTTGATTTTTATCAACTAATTTAAGTCACTCTAGTTTAACAACAATAATTTTCCAATTAATACTGGCATGTGCTACGTGCTAAGTGTTACATTAAACTCTGCCTGCTAAATGTCAATCTCTGATTTACTTTAATTCAAATACAATATTAACAAACATCTTAAAAAGTTGTAGTCAAGAAACTTAAGGTAAAAATTGTGTCTGTGTAGGTTGTTGATAGTGGAAATGGAAGTTTGTAAGGTCACCAACTAAAAGGTTCTCCTCTGCCCTCCTAAGATAATGAAAACAGCAAAGCGGGAACTAAAATCTGACCACTGCAAAACTGAAACCGTAACCAAGGTAGGAAGATAAATAACCTCGCAGTTCCGTTCCACTGAATTCTGGGTATCAGGGCCTTTTCAATTCACTTATTTTTTGTAATCATCAAGGTCAAAAGGCACTTTGTGCAACCACAGAAATAAATAAATAAATAAAACAGGTTGGCAGCAAATTAAATAGAAAGGGGAACAAAGCACGGTAGCAGGGTAGAAAATCTCTTATGAAAGCTAGCTGCAGATCAAGCAATTACTATTTGATTAATTGGAAAACACTTTATTCTTTAGTTAGAGATGACATTTTATACTAACAACTGCAGACAATAGATGGTCAATACATTAACTGTGAAATAAAGCCAATGGTGACGTGGGTTAAATGCACAAGTACACACTTGCAATCTACACACACAAGGTGTAATAACCTGTGAACTGGTAATTACACATTGTCACATCCTATGTCCTATCTATTATACTCTCCATACTTGCAATATAAAAGTCTTGAACTGTTTAATTTAATTTTCACCATTGTCAAATGCTGGCATGTGTAAACTGCAAGCAGGACAGTTAAACACACACACCCTTCTGTAAGGTATGCAGAAGAGCTGACATTGTTCTGCTGAGAAGACTATAGCTTGAAGTACACCGTCAGCTGCCTGCTTACCCAGAGTGTTTGCATCAAATGTTTAAATGTAAAAAGGCTACATTGATGGAGACACTGGAACTAAACAATTGGCAAATCAATTGCCAATGACAACATGAAGTAACTAGAAGTTTTATTTCAGATATAACTTCCAGCACATAACTAAAGAAAAAATAATAATAACAACAATTAAGCTCTATTGAAAAAAAGCAAAAGAGTAATCGAGGTCAAGGCAGTTTATTCCTCAAGGTTGCTTCCTTCTCCAACCTCCAGCCTTTCACGATGCTGCCAGAGGTCTCTCATTTGTCTGGCTCTGTTGTCAGGGACAGATTTCTCATGGCTAGAAGAGAGACAGACACTTTTATTAAGTGTTGGCACCAGACAATGCGACCACCTGCTTTTAGTACTGCTGATTCTGTGTGCACATGACAGAAATTCAGGTCCACTTTCTAAAACCATGAGGCATTGAAAATACATTCTATTTAAATGTGCTTTTACAAAAAAAAAAAAAAATCAAATAAGGTGAAGGAGGGCAGGTTATTACTGTTTAGGAGACTCCTCCTGAGAGTAAAGCAGGCACAGGGGCAAAAAGAGTGATGATATGCTTTAGGTCAATATTTTACACAATGATGCATTTTGGGAGGCACACCTCTACAGGGCATGTGTGAAACAATGTATGTCATAACTGCCCTGCGTGGCTTATTAATCTTCTGACAGCCTCTAATCAATCTGCTTCTCCGCTGTAACATTGGTTACACCGCCACGTTTAAACAAGAGACCATTGTTCAATGTGGCAGAAAAGGGTGGTGTCGGTACGCTGCTGTCTTTTTGTTTTCTTTAACACAAGGCAGTCGGAAGACACAGCACCACCCAGCTTCCCTCAGATGTTGTTGAATCAATGACACCAAGATTGTGCCAGGAAAAATGTTACAGAGCGGTAATGTGAGGTAATGTATCAGGGTTTCCTCAGTCCAATCACAAATATCAATCAGCAATTTTTTGGTCTTCTTCATTTGAAGACTATATGCATCTGGTATGTTTTAATCAGATGTGGACAGAGAGACCTAGTTAACTGGAGTGGGAGGTTGAACATGATTAGTCATAACTTGGGATTGACGGCTGGATTGTCCAATAGGAGCTCAATCATGGGTTAGCATTCAAATGAGTGATATTTTCTGATGTGCTGACGAATGTGACGAGAGTACAACCTAACCATGATTCTATTGGATAATTAAAGCATAAATAGATAGTGATCATAAATATTCAGCCTCTCACATTACCTTTATATTATACTGTAATCATTATTTAGTAAATTTATCCTCATACTCTTTTAAGAAAGACCTGGAACCAATGATTTAAACCACTGGACCGTGAAAAATGATTACAGATATTATAAACCAAAAGAAGAAAGGAGAAATAACTGACTTGGTAACAATTATGTGACCACTACAAAAAGAATAACATGGTTGTTTTTCTTTCAAACCTTCACCCTGCAAACATAAACTGAAACAGAGATCCTGACATATCTACCTCAGGTCAGGTTGACTTTTACAGCTCAGCAGGTTTCAGAAAACATCATAATTCCCATTTAAACTCTGTATGAAACTGATCGTGTTAGAAGTTACTTATTACTTAGTTTTTGGCTTTTTACCTTTAAACCAAACCAAAGAGTAATTTAATATCAACTACCAAAATAATACTCTCTCTGTGACAACATTGGGCTATTTTCAAAGCTTTGATTCCATGGGATTTTTGTCATGATCAAACCTGGAAAAGGCTGTTTTCATCCAACACTATAAATGTTGTCATCTTTACAACTGGGAACCATTTGAGAGGTATGCTGTTAAGTCATTCTGTAGTGCTATGCTAAAATTATTCTACAGATGACAGAAAGAGGAAGTAGCCACTATTCTTGTTATTATAGTTGAGCAGTCATACTGCAGCAATTACACAAAATCTTTGATTATACTCAAAGAGGCAATGCAATCATGGCTGAAAATCAATTTCAGGGACATTAGGAAAAATCAAAAAGCCAGCTCTGTGCCAACAAGGCCGAGGGCTTGTGCAAGAGAAGAGAAGAGAGCAGATTTTTTTTCCCGTCATTGCTTCAGTTTCCCTTTCCTAAATGCAATCAGCCAGCAACACCAGAGAGCCTGCTGTTTGTCAGAGCCGGATCTGCATCCTGTTCAGTAACGCTAGTGATGTCGAGCCAGGTAGCATCCAATTAGTGTTTGGTGCAACTTAATGCAAAGTGTTGGCACTCGCCTCAGCAAATCTAAGTAGTTGTCATTGAATTTACACGCTTCCCCCTGTCAAATTCATAAGCATTTTCTGATTTGCTTTGTCTTCTCAAGGCACCATGAAGTTGAAATTAGACATTTCCATCCATGTTTGAAACAGCTTGTATGGCCATTTTCTGCTAAAGCAGATTGGCGTGATTACTTACAAGACAGTCAGCCCATCAGCAAAGAGCTCCTTGATGCTCATTGACAACTGTGTTGCCGTAGAATAACGTACCGCTGCTTTTTACATATACGGCAATTTGTAATGCCAAATAATTTGGAAAATCCAATAAAATTCAAAAGTTATAATAAACGTGGCACACATACAATTTCTCTTAAAAAAACATGCATCATGTCTAGTCAAGGGATGTGTTTTCAAATTAAGTTTGGTATTTACATATTTAAAGATGTAGAATAATAAAGCACTAAATCTGAACATATTTTATATTTATAGATGCCTCTTCTAAAAGATGAAACACTGACTAAAATACCAGGAATGATGGGTAATATCTCATTTGTTCCCCCATTGTGTATTTCAACCCACCTCCTTTATTTGTCATCTTCTTCTCTTTCTTTTTTCTCTAAGTGTAGACAGCTGCACTGAGCGTCTCCACAGACTGTGGTCTCTGGCAGAAGGCAGACAATTGAGTTTTGGAAGTGGCATGGAACGAGACAAAGGGAGTGTGGGGTGGCTTCCTCCCCTTTCGTCTTCCTCCCCATCAGGGCTGCATGGGCAGACTGCTCGCTCTTTCATAACAGCATTAGCAGAGACCATGCAGCAAAACAGTGGAAAATCCACTACACCGTGTTTCCTCATCAGCAATGTCTTCTCTCTGACCTCCACCTAAGTTTCAGCAACTCGCATGAATATGGAATATGAATATGGGCCAACATCTGAGGTTACGCCAAATCCAACAAGAGACTGATTTGTCAACCATGAAATCGCCTTTACAGAGGCAGTGCATGGACAAATTTGGATGAGTTGGAGGTACTTTCATCCTTGGGAAATTTCTTGACCTTTATTTTATGTTCTGGGCCATAAAGATGAGGTAAAATGCTATCATAACAACCAATAAAAAAGGAACGTGGTGGTCCATTATGCTTCACAATTCCTGTCTGGACATCTATCATAATTGTCCCTCAGTTCCTCGGGTCACCCTGTAGACATCACAGGTCACCTCCATACCGTTCATGTGCATTCTGTGTCATTTTTTCTTCTTTTTTTTGGTCCTTGCTTAGTCGTACCCCATGTGACATACTTGGCTCCGCAGTCTTATACAAACATTACCATGAAGACATTTGTAAGACAAACACTCAATTGTGTTTGACCTCAGTCAGCTCAGTAGGAGCTTTAAAGACTAATTAGAGTTGAGATAGGCCAAGCTGAGTCTGAGGCTGGAGAACAGCCTTGGGAGGAGGCCTGTGGGAAAAATTGTATTGGTCCCCAGGCAAAAACCTGTGTCTGGTGAACATGTGTGTGTGTATGTGTGTGTGTGTTACGTGCAATCAGTGCTTGTGCTCACGGTCTTGTGGCATTATAAGATTAATAGATTAATATAAGAATATGTTTATGTCAGATCTCTGTGCTTAACAGAACCGGAGTGGAGTAAATCATGGATATTTAAAGCCAAAAGTTTCAAAACATATGTACTGTACATATATATATATATATATATATACAGTCAATATATATATAGATAGATAGATAGATAGATAGATAGATAGATAGATAGATAGATAGATAGATAGATGAAAATATGAAGACTTAATTTACCCAAAGCTCTGTAATGGAGTCTGTGAAAAAATGTGTAAAGAGTGTATTTATCTTTGTCCAGAATGAGATTCCATTATGTAGCAGTACGAGCATTTTTGTCTTGTTTTTCCCTCGCTCTTTCTGTTGACTGTTGCTATGGTTTCCCTTCCTCACTTCCACCAGTCGTTGAGGTGAGCCGGTATAAAAACGGTAGTCTTCCTCTGTGCTCCCATCGTCACCCATGTTACTTCCGGGTCAGAGGTCGTGTGCCCGACAGGTATGGCCGCCCGTTGCTTCACCTCGCTAGTCGTTTTTTTGTTCTTAAACTTAAGGTATTTGAAACTGTTATTGTAGGACGACTGTTCGTGTGCTGCTCCATGCTCCCTGTGTGCCACTGCATAAATCTTAGTGCATCTAGCACATGCTAATAGTGTTTTCCTTTTGACTAGCTGTTGTAACCACCTCATTGGACCGCTGCTGCTTTGTTTGGTGTTATTTTGTGCTGCTTTCACTGTATTGCCGTTTATCTGTTGCTGCCTACGGCGTTCTTCTGCGGCCGTCGGCGGCTTCACAGCTTCCAAGATACACACTGTGCAGGACGATTGTTCGGCCGTACACCGCGGTCCGGGCATGTATCCATCCATCCATCATCAACATGGACCAGCGACCGCATTACTGCGGCCGCTGCACCGATCCGCCTGTCTATCTCATGCTCCATCCTACCCTCACTCGTGAACAAGACCCCAAGATACTTAAACTCCTCCACCTGAGGTAGGACTTCCTCTCCAACCCGGAGGGTGCAAACCATCTTTTTCCGGTTGAGAACCATGGCCTCGGACTTAGAGGTTCTAATTCTCATACCAGCGTCTTTATACTGCAAACCGCCCCAGTGCATGCTGCAGGTCCTGGCTCGAAGAGGCCAACAAGACAACATCATCTCCAAAAAGCAGAGATGAAATCCGGTGGTTCCCAAATGGGACCCCACCCGACACCTGGCTGCGCCTAGAAATTCTGTCCATAAAGATAATGGCCTGTTCAAAGCTCTCCCAGAGGTGGGAGTTGAAGGCCCCCCTCACCGGGGATTCTGCCAGATGTTCCCAACAGACCCTCACGATACGTTTGGGTCTGCCAGGTCTATCCAGCTGGCCCCCCGTAAGCGGAGCCAACTCACCACCAGGTGGTGATCAGTTGACAGCTCAGCCCCTCTCTTCACCCTAGTATCCAATACATACGGCTGGATGTCAGATGACACAGCTACAAAGTCGATCATTGACCTCCGGCCTAGGGTGTCCTGGTGCCAAGTGTAAGTAAGCTTACGGCAGCACGCCGTCTCTCACCGTGAGCAACTCCAGAGTAGAAGAGAGTCCAGCCTCTCTCAAGGAGTTGGGTCCCAGAGCCCAGACTGTGCGTGGAGGTGAGCCCGACTATATCTAGTCGGTATCTCTCAACCTCCTGCACGAGCTCAGGCTCTTTTCCCCCCAGCGAGGTGACATTCCATGTCCCCATAGCCAGAGTGGTTGTCCAGGGATTGGGCTGTCAGGGTCTCCGCCCACAACTGCCACCCAAATCACAAGGCACCTGCGGGTGGGGGGCCCACTGGAAAG